ATCGTTTGTGTCTTGTTACCAAACTATGTATCTGTGAGTCCATTGTTTGTGTCTTGTTACCAAACTATGTATCTGTGAGTCCATTGTTTGTGTCTTGTTACCAAACTATGTATCTGTGAGTCCATTGTTTGTGTCTTGTTACCAAACTATGTATCTGTGAGTCCATTGTTTGTGTCTTATCAAATTATGTATCTGAAAGTCCGCTATTTGTGTCTTGTTACCACCAAAATAAAAAATATCATGCTCCACACATGGGCCATGTGTGTGTGTTATAAGGGTGACTGTCAAAACTCACTATAGACAAGAATAGTCCAAGACTTGGTGGTGGTTGCTGTTGACTAGCTGCCTTCCCTCTAGTACTGATAACCTTGAATAGCTCTGCACAAACATGCAAAAACAAAAAAAACTTTTTAAAGCCCTTCTTTGTTTTCAAATTTATAGTAACTCAAGCATAGTTTCATCTTTTATGCTATATAATTAATTGTAAATTAAACAGAAACATTATCAGACTAACATGTACCAAAACAAGTAAACTATTTTGATGCTACAAAATGGTATTCCTCAAGTTGTAATTTAATAATCTTCTACATTTTGTATGAATTTAATGATTTTTTGTGAATTCTTTCTATATGGTATGAATAGATTATATATAAAATGATTGTATATGACTCTTTTTTTATGATGTGAAATTTGTATGTCTTATTATATTTTGACTCTTCGTTTTACATATAGATTATGCAGAATTCTTATATTTCTTTAACCAAAATACATTTCGTGGTTTGATATTAAAAAGAAAACTAAGGTCAACTATTCCACTTAGCTTTCAAACCAGTTATTCATTTGAAAAATCACGTAATAGTATAACCTTAAATTACTTTTTTTTTTTATTGTCTGGTACTACCAATCTTGGGGCAGGGTGGCCTAGTGGTTTCCCACGTTGGACTTATAATGGGATTGTTGGAAGTTTGAACTGGCCCCTGTCATGTTATTGTGTCCTTGAGCAAGACACTTTACCAAACTCTTCTAGTGTGCCCAGCTGTATGATGGGTACCTAGCTGTTAGCCAGGGGATAATCTCCAATGAACTAACAGGGGGAATGAATCACCATTCTCGTCCTCTTATACCGCTTGAAGCTGCAGATTGAAAGCACTGAGCCCTTTGTGCCATCTGAGATACATCACAAACTTAACTCTAATTACAAATTGAGTCTTTAGTTCATTTTAATATTCCCAGAAAGAGACTCCATATATGAAAAGAGTTGAAAATGACTGTAAAATAAAATTTGTAAAGTCTGGGACCTTCAGTAGCATTTACTTGTCTTCCCCCCCCCCCTCCCCAGCTTATAATGACAAAAACTGCTGAGTTATTTATCTGTATCACACAGAACCATCAGTTCATTTATTACTCTTTATCAAGCTCCTGTTTCATGTTTTATCTGCACTGAAGTCATATGAAGTATTACAAGAAAATAAAATAGGAGGCAATGTTTTTTTTACATTATGTGCTGGCTTATGAAAAAAAAAAATTATTTCCA